TTAGCCAGTAGACATTATGATTTTCTCACTGCCGAAACTTACAGATATATTTATATTTCTTCAACGTGGTAATGGTTACAAAATTTCCAACTATACCTAGTAGATACAGCATCCTGATCTGGTTGTTGTATCTCCTATCTGTCAGTAATAACCGTCAATTTCCTGCTCATTACCACGTTGAATAAATAAATAAATATATATATATATCTCTACAAGTTTCGGGAGTGAGAAACTCATTATGTCTGTTGACGACATGCACATTCGCTAAAGTAAAAACACATTTTGTTGAAGCTTGAGACTGCTTTGACACGAGTATCCCAGAAGTAAATGCTCCACACTGCCACACCGCTGGTGTCTTTTGATGTGCGGTAAAAATCGCCCTTAATTTGTGTGTGTGTGTGTATATATATACACACACAGCTTTTTTGAGAGATTACAGCTAAGGCTACCAACTGGATATCTGCAATACGAATATAACACTGTCAGATAGTTGCAAATAAATTTTTGGATTCAAATGAAAGTTGGCACACACTGGTTTTTAAATGATCGGGTTTGACATTAATTTTTGTACAGCACTTGATTGATCTTGTGCATTTAAAATTGACTATTTACTGATAAATGTACATCTACAGTTGTTTTACGTGTACGTGCATTCTTTCAAGAAATGTTTACGTGTTTCTAGCGTTGACGCCTTTGCCTTGCGACCCACGTAGCGAGTGTTACGCGTACTGCCCAGGTTTCAGTTATAGCAATACTTGGCCTTGAAATTGTAGACGTATTATCCGAAAACTATGGCATTCTGGGTGGTCGCACAAAGCAAATTATTTTCTTTAACGTTGAAATGCTGATTTGAAATTCGCCGTTCTGAAAGCGATTTCAACTTCCACTCCACGAAACACAATACAAAACTAGGGGACAAAATATTATTATTTTCTTTAAATAATATGACGAGTACAACAGATTGTGTTACTTGTGTGAAAGCAAGGTATGAAAATTTTCGAATTGATTTGTAGCTAATGTTGAAAAAATATTTTAGCTAAACTTATTTCATTTATTCAAAATTTCGTCAGATACAACTACATCAAGTTAGGCGGATTTTTGTTTAGCTATGCATAGGCCTACATGCGTGTTAAGGTGCAACACATGTTTCCCTATGTATAAAAATTAACGGAATTTTAAAGTTGTGTTGAGCTTCACTAGGTTTCAATCCACCAACATTATTCCGACATGCCCTTATCTTAACTTATCCGCTTAAAATTGAACTGTTCACAATAAGTTAATTATATTTAGCGATAGTAATATTTTGTTGGTATTGCATCACATTATAAGGTAGTGTGGCCGAGCGGTCTAAGGCGCTGGTTTAAGGCACCAGTCTCTTCGGAGGCGTGGGTTCGAATCCCACCACTGCCACGTTTTGTTAAGTCTATAATTTTAAAGGCAATTTAAAGTTGTGATTAAAATGTCAGTTTATTTTTAGGAGTAAATGTTCTCCGTTTGATAATAATCAAGTGTTGTATAATTTTTCTCTTTTCTCTTCTGACTAGTAACATATTTAACTATAAGTGTCGTGCATTTCCAGAAGACCACATTTTTTGTTGACTGTGAAATTTATTTACTGAAGAACTTTTTGATGTCATCATTCTTTTGAAATAATCATTAAAACACTCGTCTGTTAATAGGCCCTACGATCTTTATATATATATATATATACACACACACACACACACACACTAACCCATGCCTGCAAGGAGACAGTCGTCTTAAACTGATAAAAAGTTAAATATAATAATTATGTTCATGTAACGTGCTACAAAATATTGTTTAAGTTTTTGGACGCTTGTTTTAGATTTGTGTTCGTTAATGAACTTTCCTTAATAAACACATGATCTACTTGCAATATGTTTACTATGACAATGTAGACGAGCTAATGTACCTCAGTACGTGTTCTTTTCGGTTGTCACTGATGCGACTCTGCAGCTGGTTGTTTCTCTGTGGCTCTGCCGCCAGACACGAATACGGGTCACAGTCCACGCAGAACTTCCAGACAACGCTGAGATATATCACGTGTTTCCAACATTATGAAGTTACTTTACGCAGTTGTATATTCCGCAGGACGGTAAACTTGTTAACAGAAATCTACACGCTTTCTGAAGTCGGGATTGTAAAACTAAGAAACGGCAATCCTTGCTTATAGTTTCTGCAACATTGTCAACAAATATTTCACCAGAGTGATGCATTATTTTCGCATGATGTCTTATGCCGCAAATAGCTCTACAAATTCACAGCGTGAGGAATAGCTCGACAGGATGCATCGGCCTGGCTAAAAATTTGTTCACAAAGTTGGTAATAATTGCTGCCTGGAATAGCCCTTTCTTGGATTTTCTAGTTAGGCTGTCAGGTACCTGTGAATTTCAAATATGGTGTTAAGTATTAATTTATACCTAATGTTGTGGTGTGGGCAAGCCACCATTGCTTCGGCGCTTGTGTGAACCCACCAGCAGAACCCTAAAGAGAGCGAGGTCGTGAAAACGAGGCGCCGCCGCTAAGTTATGGAAACAGATCTGACAGTTTCCAAACAGGACTCGTTTATAAGGACTGCAGAGCTGCTAGCCCGGGGCCTTGTTTTCCTTTACTTCACCACGTAGAGGACGAGCAAGATTGGCCAGCTGATGGAGTTCGAGCCGCCGTAATCGCAGTGTATTCAGTCTACGGCATCTCAGCAGGTAAAGACGTTCCTGTAGGGTCAACGATGGATTTACTCTAGATAGGTACGGGGACGTAAAGTAACGTAATTAAATAGATAATATTTATACTTGCAGAGTTAGGTTAACTTAAAGTAATACGCTCCTCTGGCGCAATATAAAGTATTGAATATAATGCAATAAGTTGTACGGATTATATTGTAACAGATATTTATGAGATTAAATATATACATATAAGGCGTAGATAGGACTTATCGTGCTCTACCATCTATCTACGTATTCCTCTAACAGACTGTTCGGCAAGCCCCTAAGGCAAAGCCGGAACACCCACACCCTCTTAAGTTTCTCGTGGTGTCATAGGAACAGTGTTACTGCGGGATTTTGTGCCATATTCTTGGACAAGGTCGATGTACCATGACCCGATGTTGCGGAATGCGCAATAAATATGGAAAAATTCATATTTTCGTTGTGACCGCGCTGTCTGCACTGCCGAGAGGGGCTTTCGGCAGTGCAGACAGCGTGGTCCCCTTAGCTAGGTGCATGTCGTGGGCCAAATCATGGATTCTTGCGATCTAGGTCAGAGTACCTTGCTCGAGTGTACATAGGCTATGCGCTGCCCTCCCGGGCGAAGGCTGTTTATCACCAAAAAATGCGTTATTATATAATTTGACGAAATACTGGCCATCTTGTAGACGTAACTTACATATAAAATTTCCCCTAGTAAAAAAATTTCGACCGCATAATTTTGCTTAATGGCATGTCAAAATCGTACTAAGGTTACCAAGGTACGGTTACAGTCTTCTGGTTGACGACAAAACTTGTAGGTGGAGGCTTGTAACGACATTTAGGCGGAGGCTTGTAACACCCATGGGATCTTTATTTAATTCCGAGTCTTCTGAAAAGCTACAGCAGGAAATGTCTTATCAACAAAATGTGAGGTACGTATTGCACATAGTAGCATTGGCTAGGGACTACCGTGGACACTACTTCTTTTATTTCACATTGAAAATTATGTGAAGCGCATTTAATTATACTTTGAACAAGCCAAGGTTAAAAGTAAGTCATGTAATTGTGTACAACCTCAAAATAACGCTCGCATTTTCAAGACATCTCATTTAGGCGCATTACAGTATACCGTAAATTTTTTTTAAATTTTTACTGAGAAATTGTTTGTAAATTTACAAATGCTTTAACAGTACAAAGATATTTCTTGTGGAACTACAAGGGCCGTGTTTGTACTAGACCTGAAGAAATGTTTGTACTATACTAACACGTGTTCACGAGCTACAGCAAAATGGTGGACACTCAAAGACATAAAACTTTATATGGCTGTTTATGCAGAATCTATGGGTGATTTAATGTGCAGTTGTGTGCAGAAATTAATGTATGTATGTATTAGAAATTTATAGCAAGTTTGAATTGGGTAAAACACTTAAAATAACTTAAACTCACGATATCAATAAAACTTGACCTTATAACTAATTAACTATTAATGTGTTCTAGTTACCCAGAACTCTTTAAAATGAAGTTAAATTATTATTTTTAATCAAGTAACTTCCTTGATATTTTGTAAGTGCTTGCAGGATATTTAATATAAAAATTAGTATTTTGTTCGTAAGTTAAGTTGGTCATGTACTTAAGGTTGCGGGCTTATAATGCTAGGGGTGTGGGTTGTAGTCCCCCTGCAGGCCAGAGTAGTATTTTTTTTCGAAAATTAATTTTAAAATATTTTTAAAATTATTATCTGTTATTAATTCATTTCATTTGTTTCCTAGAAGCAAAAAATAACCATTTTATATACACCCCAAAAATGTAAGTTGTAATACAAAGCTATCATTCGTAGTATTACAAAAATATGTTTAATAGATTTTATAAGAAATCTGTATTTTTATAAAGGATTTGCTTTGCAACTGGGTTTCCAAAGATTTATCTTGTAAAAGTACAAAACAAATTTTTAGAGTGTACGCATTATTTTGGATGTGTTTTAATGAATAACTTCAAATATAATGTGTTTAAGATGACCAAGCAGTCCGAGATGTGGAATTTCAACTGTTCAATAATTTTATAATCGCAAAATAAATGTTGTTCATTCTGGTATATTATTTAAGGCCCTTCGCAAGTTTGGTGAGTGGGTGGAGGAGGGAGACAAAGAATTTATGAAGGTAAATGTAAATTAGTTATTTATTTTTAGATCACAAACCCCCAGACGCCATGAAAATAAGCTGTCATTGTTACAGTAGTGATTTCAGAAATGTTTTCCGAGACTTAGGCATATGGGGGGGGGGGGCATTCAAAGCATGACAGCGGTGGGACTCGAACCCACGCCTTTAAAGAGACTGGTGCCTTCCGCCAGCGCCTTAGACCGTTCTGCTACGCTACTGACGTACCTTTTAAATGCGTTACACGGAATGAGTGATTAACTATCCCTTGAAGGAAAGAGTTAAATGCAATAGTGATAGACTTCGCTGTTATGTTGTCCTGTAAGGCAAAGATATCTTAAGTGATAAATCAGTACGACTGTGTTTCGGTCATCCCTCACTTCTAGTCAAAAAGAGACATTTATACTTCCTGAGAACTGGAATCAATAAAACTACGCTTAAACATGGGATAACGGTAACACGCAGAGATCGTTTCTCACTTACTTAACCATACTGAATTTCAAAGCATTAATGGCTCCATCTTTCTCTACAACTGTATCTTATTTGTATACTTTATGAGCAGTGTAAAATTTTAATTATTATAGTAAATTTATATTAAATCATTGATCCGAAATTTCTTAACCATTTAGTAATATCCGCACGCGAATGTGAAAGTAATTAAAATAATATATATTTGATTTGCGGGATTTTGCATTAAAATAGTGCCTATAAATATAAACGGTAAATAAGGGGTTAACTTAATGAAGATATTTTTTAAATTTATTTTTACCGTGGTTTTTAACAAGGCGGTTACGTCTAAGATTGACCAACGGTGAACTTTTGAAGTAACATTACAGCAATTTTTCATTTCTACATGAGGTGCGAAAATCGTCATGTAATTCTTGAAATATCACCTGGTTGTCATGCAGGTTAACAAAAGTGTGGATGCACTTTTATAAGGCAAACTGTGTCACCAGTGGAGAAATAATATCAATGCCCTGCATATCTTAATGATTAAATTTGTTCAGAAACATGCATAGATTGAGACGGGCGACTCTCTTATCTTTATTCAGGTCCTCCTGAAGTGCTTAGACTTATTACTCATGAGAGCCTGTTAAGTTTGTAAATAGACTACTTAAGGTTAAATAACAAACCGGTATGGCAGTTTTATCCTTGCTGATTTGAATTTAATAGAATCAGGGTGAAGATTGTCACGGAAATGAGCTAGCGCTGAGAGACTTCCCATTAAGTATCGACTGATATCAATTGCTATAGTTCATTGGGGGGTTTATTCACACTTTTTTACTCAAACCTTTGAGCAATCACCCACGCAAGTCGTGTTAGGTTTTGTGTTAAATATTTCTTACACCATAAGCTTTTATTACTTCTGTTAACATAAAGGTATCTTATTTGCGGTTATATCAAACTTTTAAGTGTATTTTTTATAAATTATGTTTTATTTACTATCAATACGAGTAAAAAGAGTGAGAAAATAGGCGTGTAGGTAATGGCAAGTAAAAAATATTTCGTACGCAAACTATATATTAAACTGAGTGGCTATGAATGCGGGGCGTTGCCTTTTGGTGTAAATTTCTAGACTTGGTTAGCAAGGCTTCACAAAAGTTGGAAGGAACAGTGAATGGAATTTATGAGGGCAGGCAACCTGAGACAATGTTGTAGTCTGTTTTGCGTCGAGGAAAATCATCCCCGTATAAGAGAATGAACTATTCTACGAGTTACGCAGGCAGTTGTGTTTATCAGTCCAAAAAACAATTATTTTTGGTGTTCACTTTTTGTCATAGTTTGTTACCCTTTGTTTACAACTCCATGAATATGCTCGGAGAGCCGTGCAACAATTTACTTATGCCGCAGAGGAAGTAATTCAGATACTTTGAAACTGGCAGTCTATACTGGCCTGTTTTTTTTTAAGTATAACATTTTCTATCTGGTGAATCAAGAAAGGCAATTAAATTACATTTAATTGCAAAAAAGGAGTTACTGACCTTGATCAAGATCGAAACAAGGAATCTGAAAATTGAATGACTAAAAGTTTAAAATACTTGCAGTTCATTTTTTTAAATATCTTTTTCAAGGGCAGAATTGAGTGCATTTTTAAAGGCATACTTAAATTCCAAAGTCACATTAAAATATTTATTGGAAATTAAAATGTTAGACTATTAAATGCACGCAAGTTTATAACATTTGCTGGAAAGGGTTTTCTGATTGATATCAATGTACCACTTTGTTCTGACACCATTTCCACACTAGAAGCAGGTTAATTTCGGAAACGTTGATGTTGGTCATGTGGGCAAGGTCGTCAGAGATTTGAAACTCAAGATTCTAAAATTTGCCAAGTTCGTCAAGTACAGAACACACGAAACAGCACTCCATAACGTAATCCTCTCACCCGCGCTTGTTCAGAGTTCCTGTAGAAAGAAAGGTCGCCATCACGCACGCGTACAGACAGAATATTTCCAAAAACGTGTGACTGAAGTTTTCAATAGTGGCTGTTATTCCATTACATGAATGAAACTGATCGTTTGGATTCAAATGAACGTCCTAATAAATTTGTAGAAGGTGATTGAAGAGTCCACCATAAGACCCGCACGCGCCGCAGTTAGCACTGCATGTACTGCAATTAGCACTGCACTTACCGCAGTTAGCACTGCATACACTGCAATTAGCACCGCACGTACCGCAGTTAGCACTGCAATTAGCACCACACACATCGCAATGGGAATTTCCTGGTGTGTTTTCCGGTAAAACTGAGTTCTATAAACGCCTGTGGTTACAGCCTTTGTTTACTGTGACTAAATGAGTGTCAGCCGCAGTGGGGAAAACACAAGGCGAAGTTGTACAATATGTTATCTTAAAAAGAAATTATTTTCATAAACTGGGGAGGCTGGTGGCCAAACGAAGTGTTTCCGCACACGTGTTCACGTTTTTTTTTTTTTTTTTTCACATCGCGGTGTAAAGACCTGTGGAGTGAAGTATGGCCGCATATTTCAGAGACAGCCTGTACGACTATAATTCGCCTGCATGGCGATAGTTAGGGGCGCCATTCGTTCTGCCGCTACGAGAGATAGGAACGCGACTGCCGGAGGGAGGAATTAATAAGATGTAGCGCGCCTGCAGGGACTGTACTCTCCCCGCAGCCGTCAAAGAGGCGGCATCTTTGATTGGCTGGGGAACGAACACTGGTACCGATATTATGTCCCCCAGCGGGAGGCGGCGTTGATTGGATTAAATTCATCTGTGCGCATGGCGCGCACACACGCACACGCACAAAACTCGCTCGAGCAGATCGTACGCTCACACAAACCCTCCACCCACCTTCGCCGCTGGAGCATCGATAAAACTTATGACGCGTCATGAGCTCTGGATTACCTCTCGCGCACGAGGCAAACTACTCCGAGGGTTTCCAATAAGTCAGCTACCAGCTAAGCATTACCTGCCAGGTCACTTCGTCAAAGTATAACTACTTCGTCACTCTCGGACAAAGTGATCAGTAAGTAACTGAAATATCGAGGTTACCAAATAACGGCATGTCTTCAAATTACTTAAACGTGGAAGTTACGGAATTTTCGTCTTAATAAATAAAATACAATTACAAGTTTAGGGAAGGCGAAACTTTTAATTACAACAGTAAGATATATATGTTTTTGTATTTGATTCATATGGAATTAAATTTACTTTTGTGTTTCGTGACTCATACTTTTAAATTGATCAAATTCTGTTGTCTATAATGTAATGGGCGTGTATGGTATGGTATTCACTTAAAGTAGCGTTATGCGTTCTGCATCACGAGACCTTCACAGTGTCGCTCTGCGTGAAACAGGCTCGAGATGGGTCTATTCACCCGAGGAATGTCCGTACACCAAATGTGGATGAAGAAGTATTAAATGTTGTGGAGGAAAACCCGACCAACAAGCACCCGCGCCATTGCTCACGGAATGGGCGTGTCCCATTCTATGGTGTGGCGTGTTAAGTACGAGCAGTTGCTGCGGGCCTACCACGTGCGAAAGGTGAGGGTATTGGGACGAGCAGATTTTGCTCCTCGCCGTGCTTTTCCTCAGTGGTTTATGCGACAGTGCACACAGTACTATATAGCCAGTGGACGTCCTGGCATGTCTGAGCGCGGTGAAGCGTGGTAAGCCTAGCCTTGGGCGTAGAGGGGGGGGGGGGGGGCATGCGCACGCACGTCTGGCCGTGCTATCGGCTATTCCACAAACATCAGTTACGGCGGGCTCAGTTGTGTGTAAGGCAGTGGCGGACGTAGGTCGTTTGCAGAGGCACGGAAAATTTATCCCCAGTGTTACAAACGTGCACTTGCCCACAATAGCCATGAACGACCACATATCATAAAATAATGATACAACTGAAATACTACGTAGTTTGTAACACTCAGTGCAATGTCGCGTAAATACATTAATGCGTACATTTGATCAAAATGAAACTAAACAGTAACTTTAATTTGAGACTATAGAAACTTTGTATAGCTTTATGTTCTCAAAGTCGTAATAATGGGTGTTTTTATTTATAGTGGACTGTCCCACGTATAAAGAAAAACTACATACAAATGTTATAAAATAAGAAATAGAATAATAAATATTAAACAATGCCGCCGCTATGACATATTACACTATACAGTGTAATGTCCATTTACTTTACAAATTCCACCCAATTAAATTACATGTAAGCATTCTTGCTGTGTAACGGTAGTTTATGTTAAATTGTGGTCTGCATACACCTGGGTGTTTAAATTATATAGCCCACGCAATTCATAATAAATCATTGAAGTTTGAATAAAAAGTTTTTAATTACCATGTCGGTGTATGTATTATTTCTAGAATTCCGATTCATGTACAAAAGTAATGCCACCTGTAAAGATGTTTTCCCAAATAATGCTGGCTTTGGTAGTACGGTGTAATCGCTGCAGAAGTATTTTTGTAGCCTTTATGATAAAATAAGATTAACAGTCCGTAATAAGTTCTCGATTATAAAACAAAACATGTGTAAATATTTAGTCGTATTTTGAAAGCATTAAAATCTAAAACATTAACAGGTTAAAATTATATACCTGCCAAATTACTAGACAAACAGTTTCAAAACTAACGCTATCGATACGTAAATTTGTTTGTTGGGGTTGAAGTTACGTCCAAACGTATTTTCTCAAGAAGATGCAGGTGCTATTTAGCGTAGTAGCCTATTTGTTTTAGATATAATATAAATGATAATCATT